ATACTTCGAGTATAGATCAATAATATATGACCCTTTATTATTTATTACGATTAGGAGAAGTAAATGAGTTTTTCTTTACAGAAATTTACTTAGAATCCCTTTTGATTTTTCAATATTATGGTATCCTGTCAGAGATTTTTTAAAATTCTTTAAAAAAATCATATTTAGGCTTGTATATCAGCTGACCCTGAGTTTTCCCAATCTGACCGAGCAAGGAATTAATATTTAAGTTTTAGGAAAATCAGATCAAATTGAAATATCATAAAAAATCGAATTAAATCATTTCAAAATGATATTCTAATTAATATAAAAGATTATTAAAGGCAGCATTTTCAAAATTCTAATTGAAACTAAGAAAATCAATGATGTATAAACAATTCCTTTTGTTTCAATATTTTCTATATAAAATTTGCAATTCCACAATTTAAAGTCCAAAAATTAGCTAAATATACAATATTCACAAATTAAATAATAATTTTGGATGAAAATTTTTGGTTTAAATGCTGATGAAGTATCATAGTATCAAAAAGTAAAAAATAAAATTAGTACAAATAATAAAATAAATTTCAAAGACTTTAGCTCTGATAAATTCCATAAATGGGATACCTTCTAACTTATATGATATCCTGGATAAAACTATATATGCAGATAAAATTTTATAATAAAATTTGAAAATCAAATTATATTTTTGATGCAACATTAATCTTACTTTCTTTTTCATGAATTATAAAAACTGATGTTAGTTTAATGTTATAATAAATATGGCTAAATAGTCATATTACAATTCATATTTCTTGCTGATATCATCTAAGAGAAGAGTTAAATTAATTGATGAAAATTCTTATGGAGAAATAAATTTCTAGATTATTTTAATTAAAATTATAGAATTTGGATGTTTATTTTTAAATTAGAAAAGAACGGAAACTCTTATGATATCAAAATGTTTCAATATAGCAACTTTTATAATTATATACTTTCAAAAACCAAAACACTTATTGAAATATTTTCTTTAGTTATACGTACGAAGCAGCTCATATTTTACTGCTTAGAAAATTAAAAAACTAGGATTTTGACATCCTCTTCTAAATTTTTTGATAATTGACAACTTTCAAAATCCAATTAATGAATTAAAATTAATTGATAAGTTCAGTTAGATTACATAAGCCAATTAATGATAAATTTAAGTCATTTTTATGTATTAAATGATCTTGACCTTAGAAATAAATATAATAACAGAAAATAAGCTAGCTCACAATTCTTTTCTTTCTCAAACTAATCATGTTATCATAATAAAACGAATCCTATTTGTATTATAATTCTGGAATACTTTCTTTTATAAACATTAGATCTATATGATCCTTTTGCCTTATCCAAAATTTTTCTTGCAGTAAATAGAAAGAGGACTTCTTGTTATACAAATAAAGACGAAAATTTATGTGTTCAAATTTTTTAAATCCTCTTCAGTTAATCATAATGGCTTCTAAATAAAGCAATTTTAAAACTCTAATCTTTTAAAAAAGTTGTAATAAATTAGAAAAGCTTAATTTTATTAATCTCTCATTTCTATCAATTATCAACTCTTTATATGGTTTCTCTGAACCATTATCGAAGCAAAAAGGTTTATCTTTTCAAAGATTGGTAGTTTTCCACATTATCAATATTTTTTATCATTTCATACGAAAGTTGCAATAAAGCAAATCATAAACAATAAAGTTTTCTAAGAGGATTTACTAGATTTTAGATCTTGATATAATTTCCATAATTAATTAGATTAATTGGTTTTGACCTATCTCATATTTTCCATAACTAATAATATAGAGAGTTAGCCATTTCTATACTTGCCATTCTCTAATTTCTTTCATTATTATTTTTTGCTTTAATTAATGTCATATGATTAAGAATATTCAAATAAACTACAAGCGGCTTGAATCATGAAACCTTAATTGATTTTAATTTAACACCTTCTGCACACTCATTTATATCAATTAATTTTAATATTAATTTTAAATCCATATAAAGAAATTCAGTGAAAATTCTTTAGTATACTAATCTTAAAAGTATAAGCCAAAAATAAATTCTACTTGGCAAATCAAGAAACAATGTAAAATTTTGCGTTTTAATAAGGTTTATTTCTGATAGCTATATTTAGCTGAAAAACTAACAATTTTGAAAAATAGTTGTTGTTTTTACTTTATTTTTAATTATAATAAAGGATAAAGAAATTTTTGGTATACTCTGGACCACTCTTTATAAAGAAAAATAAACAACTATACTTCTCTTTTCCCATTAATAGTCTCATTTGATTCTAGAGAATTCTTTTTAAGAGACATTTACTATTATTATTTTTAGACTTTTTTACTTAAATGATGTATATATCTATTTATTTTTTTAGATAATTGTGTAGTGTGAATTAGGAATAATTTATTCACTTAGTCAATTAGTATGTAGTATTCATTACAATAATGTGAATAAATTAATATTAGTTTTGTTAAATAAGGAGTCCTAACTGGAAAATAGAAAATTTAAATTAATTTGAATTCGTCTTATTTTATCAATTTTACACTCTTATGGGTTTTATAGTCATTTTCTAGAAATTTGTCAAGATCAGAAAATTTAGGGAATATTTCTTTCTACTTTGAATTTTTTCTTTTGCATTGATAAATAACGAAAAAAATACTCAAAAAATGTTATAAGATGATACAATTCAGCAAAATACCTCTTTAACTAACTTAATCTTTTTCTCTTCAACCAATTTCTCAATACTTTCACCAAAATTTATTTGTTCAGAAATTTCCCATAAATTTTAGTTTGCTTTACATTTTATGATCTGAATGGATAGAAAAATGAGTTTGTATGGTGAATACCTACAATATAATTGTATTGCTCTGGTGACTTCTCGATTTTAGGCAGTATTATAATATAATTTGTGCTCCTATATAATTGCAATTTACTTTTATTAAAAATACAACTACTTCACTTCTTATATTTAATTATTTTGAATGATAAATAAATATTTAAATATATATTTAAATCTAATTTATCTTAAAATTGCCATATTATCCAATAATTGTATTTTAGATTACTAAGAAACACCCACACATGGATTTAATTCTTATGATGTATCTATATCTAATTACTAATAATCGATATTATATTTACAACAAATGTTAATTATGGATTATACTATCTACTACATTTAATGTATTTATGTTCAATACATACTGCAATTATTATTATGTCATTATTTGTAAATCGAAATGACAAATTTTTATCAAGTAAATCTTTGCTATGATGAGAAAAAATATGACCATTATTTTATATTAAATATGTTCTATTATAATATAATTATATACCCATACCCAGTATAGTAACACTAATGATAATTATTTTTCTACATAATGTCTCTATATCCTATTCCAACTTGAAAATATGATCCATTAATCATTTAAAAGGCAAACTATATTTCCCAGTCTTTGGAATTGCTTATTCACAAAAACAATAAAATTAACCACTATTTGTAACTTATGCAACAAGTTTTGCATCTTCACTTACTTAACAATTATTATGTATATGTGTATTTGAAAATGATAATGATTTATTACATTATTGATTCTAAAAATAATATAATNTTTATTCACTTAGTCAATTAGTATGTAGTATTCATTACAATAATGTGAATAAATTAATATTAGTTTTGTTAAATAAGGAGTCCTAACTGGAAAATAGAAAATTTAAATTAATTTGAATTCGTCTTATTTTATCAATTTTACACTCTTATGGGTTTTATAGTCATTTTCTAGAAATTTGTCAAGATCAGAAAATTTAGGGAATATTTCTTTCTACTTTGAATTTTTTCTTTTGCATTGATAAATAACGAAAAAAATACTCAAAAAATGTTATAAGATGATACAATTCAGCAAAATACCTCTTTAACTAACTTAATCTTTTTCTCTTCAACCAATTTCTCAATACTTTCACCAAAATTTATTTGTTCAGAAATTTCCCATAAATTTTAGTTTGCTTTACATTTTATGATCTGAATGGATAGAAAAATGAGTTTGTATGGTGAATACCTACAATATAATTGTATTGCTCTGGTGACTTCTCGATTTTAGGCAGTATTATAATATAATTTGTGCTCCTATATAATTGCAATTTACTTTTATTAAAAATACAACTACTTCACTTCTTATATTTAATTATTTTGAATGATAAATAAATATTTAAATATATATTTAAATCTAATTTATCTTAAAATTGCCATATTATCCAATAATTGTATTTTAGATTACTAAGAAACACCCACACATGGATTTAATTCTTATGATGTATCTATATCTAATTACTAATAATCGATATTATATTTACAACAAATGTTAATTATGGATTATACTATCTACTACATTTAATGTATTTATGTTCAATACATACTGCAATTATTATTATGTCATTATTTGTAAATCGAAATGACAAATTTTTATCAAGTAAATCTTTGCTATGATGAGAAAAAATATGACCATTATTTTATATTAAATATGTTCTATTATAATATAATTATATACCCATACCCAGTATAGTAACACTAATGATAATTATTTTTCTACATAATGTCTCTATATCCTATTCCAACTTGAAAATATGATCCATTAATCATTTAAAAGGCAAACTATATTTCCCAGTCTTTGGAATTGCTTATTCACAAAAACAATAAAATTAACCACTATTTGTAACTTATGCAACAAGTTTTGCATCTTCACTTACTTAACAATTATTATGTATATGTGTATTTGAAAATGATAATGATTTATTACATTATTGATTCTAAAAATAATATAATAAATTTATTATAAATATACTTTTTCTAATTCCATTTTATTTTTTTTCTGATTCTAACTTAATTTTATTAATTTAATCAATTTTACTTAATGCTTCTTTATAATTCTTATTAAGTTTAATTTTGATTAAATTCCTATTTTAATTTGTTTTCTAAGGAATAAAATAAATTCTATTACATTCATCTTCGAATTTCTTTATCATCGTCATTTTATCCACTTCATTATAATCTTTAAGATTTTTTTTATCTAAAATTGCTTATTAATATTATTCTTTGATCTCCTTTTATTCTTTTTCCTTTTATTTAATAGTAAAAATTAATTTGATATTTAAATCTTTTGTAAACCAGGACAATATTTAATAAAAATTTATCAATATTAACGAAAATAATTAAGCTAAATGTAAACAAGTTGAGATCTTTTGCTAATATTTTATATTTTTAATGAAAAGCTAATTTAATTCTTTTTAAATCATAGCCAATAATTAGGGTATTCCAAATTCTTTCAAGAAGTAATCTTAAGGGCATTTAGCATGAACTCCAATATAGAGAGAACATTGGAGTTGAGGATATCTAAAACCTTATTTAAAAAATGGCTCTTGATTAGGGGTAAGTTGACAATAAATTGATACATTTATAAGGATAAAAATAAGTCTTAATTAAAGACCTAAATCATAAGTATTTAAGTCAATAATAAATTGGAGATTCAAATATTACTTCTCATAATTAATCTTATAATTGAGGAAATGAACAAAATTACATATTTTTCAATTATTATGTCAAAAGAAGATTAAAATTTAATCAGAATTTATGCGAATACGTTATTCAAAAGAATGAAGTAAAATCAAATTAAGTCGGCCAAATTTTATAAAATATTTTAAAATTACAAAAAAGTGATTTCAGAGAGGACTTTGTCCAGACAAAAATAATGAATAATCACATACAAGATTGAGATTATATGAACCAGCTAGTCTTTACTATATTGAAAAAGATGTCTCTGATTAGAGATTTGATTCGGAAGAATTCAAATAAAATAAGAGATAAGAATTTTGAAGTGCTTTGAATTAATGAGAATTAGAAGAAATTAGTAAAGCTTTAGGTAGAGCATCGTATTGTTTTTTGATTATTGCAGGTATAAAAATCCTGATTGAATAGAATGAAATTAATAGGTCAGAAGATTAGATTTTCAGGGTGGGTAGAATGAGGGCTAAGGAAAAAAATGAATGGGAGGAAAAGAACTTGCTAGAAGTATGAAAAGGGAGTTAATGATATAATCTTAGTTTCTTACAGTGATTTATTAGCCTTATGTAATCATTAAATTAAATTTTATGATTTACCATATATAATGTGTCTTTTTCATATTCATGTCCATTTAAGTTTGAACTTAGGCTTTTATATTTTGAAAAACTAAGCAATTTCTTCTCAATATATAAAGGAAACTTTATTAGAAAAAGAAATAGATGATCCCCTTAAAAAGGTATAGATGTTTTAAATTATTTCTTTTTTAGTTCCCTCTAGATAAATATATATATTCACTACTCTAAACAAATGCATAGGAAGGCAATCTATTAAAACAACGACGTTAAAATCCTAAGTGATCTCTACATGTAGAGATAATACATTGCACCTCTATTGTAGTTTAGAAAGCAGATTAATAGTCAATCAATACTTTAAAGTATAAAATCTCCAATAATCTTAAGCAAAAGGGTTTAGATGTAAAGAATTTAATAATAAAAATAACTAGAAACCTCATTTATGTAAATCCCTTTTGCACTTATTATTCCTAATAGCCTTAACAGAGTTAAATGCAATATATTTCTCATATCTATATTTCGTTCAATATTTGCTCCTCAATTATAACAATGACAAGTTGTTTTTCCTTTCTCTGAAAATTCTTTTCTAATTGATTTTAAGAGATATATTTAGAATTTATTTCTTCAGGGTATCAGCACCAATATTGAGCTTATCTAATCGGTTGTTCTTTTCTGGAGTAGAGAGCATATCAGCTTAAATTCTCACTTCACTGTTCAAAATTAATTTTTATAAAACTGGTAAGCAGAAAATGTTTCCTATATCTTTTAGATTAAGTTTTTAATCCTCTTGTTTTTCTTCTCTTATTTGATTTGATTCTCTAGGAGGTTAACTTTCTTAATTTTTTCTATCATTACCTTTAATACTTTAAATGATTATGTTAGATGAATATTCTCCACAATTATATCCTCAAGAGTTTTCTTACTTGTATTTATACACCTAGCATCTTTCCCAAATAATTTGATGAGTTAGACCATTCAGTTACTTATTTAATTAGTTAGGCATCAAGTCCTATCTCTTAAATCTCTGTTAATAGGTCAATTTATTCACTACTGACTGACTAATATTATGATATCGTTCCATCTCATGAGATGAATAAATTTTTCGCTGCAGAGAAGTTTATGGGAAATATAACATTGTATGATGACTAAGGAATTCTCCTTTGTCATGCAAATATAATTTTCCTGCCTTTTATTATCCAATTACAACCTCTTCTATTAACTATTATTTATCAATTGAGCTTATTCCTAAGTTTCGTGTTCAAAAATATTTCTGATTATTTCCTATCTAATTTAATATATTTTGATCTGCTATTAAATTTTCATGTTATAACAAAAATTTGTAATTTTATTTTTAATTTAAGATTTTTTGATCTAAATATTATTCAAAGTTTTCCTACTTATTATATTAGTCGCCATAAGCTCCAGTCTTTTTGGATATAAATCCATTTGATTGGAAAGAGGTTTACTAAAATTGATCATATGTTAAATAAATAATGGAGGAACGTTCTATCTCATTTAGTCAAAAACTAGTTAGATTTATCCACTCTCCTCTCAGATAAAAGGATCCAGATCATAACCAATTTATGATCCTTTGCATCTATTTTTGCTTTGCTTGACTCAATAATTGTGAGCCAAATAACCTATTGAATAATATCTTGTCCTATTTTTTTACAGACTAGTTCACCTTAAGCAAATTCATTCTTTAACATGAGGTAAAATCGATTTCTCAATAACATTTCTGTTGATTTAATAGTTGAATTTATTGAAATTGATCTGCTAGATTAGAAGCTTTATTAAGCGAATTTCGATAATATGTTTTTATGATTAGAGGACGATATAATAGGATTTAAAAACCAAAATGTACAAGAGGAGAAAATGAATCCCAATTGTTGAGGTGAGGTTCTCTTAATGGAAAATGATATTTTAAACACCTTAGAAGGACATAGACAAAGATTTAGGAAGATATATCCCTTATAAAAATAGAAGAAATAAGTAAATAAAAAGGTGACTTACAACTCCATCCAAAAATGGGGAAATTCAGTGATATTTCAGAACCATTAAATTGCAGCCATCTTGAGTTTTTTAAAAAATACAAAATAAAATTATTCATTTAAAGACTGTATGGTATGTTTTACTAATTATAAGATATTAGCTAAAATAATAATATTTAATGTCTTACTCTTAACAGGTTGGAACAAAATTATATAAATCGAGTACCAAATTAGATCCAAAAACAAACCCTCTGAATTTTTATAGTATCTTATTTCTCTTCTCATTAAATTTAAGGATCCAAATAAATTCATCCTCTTCCTGATCCTTCACAATAGACAATTAATCATCACCACCACAAAATGCACTAGTTCACTTCTTTCAAAGAATCATTACAAATTTAGCACCACATTCTATACCCGCATATTGAATTCATAATAACAATCTTATCTCACTCCTATACTTGAAAAGAATTCTTGTTGTTTTTTTCAATATAAATAATTGAATTTCAAACACAATTTCTGAAATTATTAGTTTCCTTTTTAGAAATACCTTTCAATAACGTTATTGTACTTAAATCTGTATTATATTTATTGAAATTAAATCATTTAATTTCTACTTGATAAAAAGCTTGAATTGAACTTTTCTCCTTTGTTAGAGGGAGAAAGTTGATTTTCTCAATTTATAAGGATTATTTGAAGATATGAAATTCATGTCCGACAATTATCTACTTAACTTACATTTAGCTGACTATCTAATATGGCTATCATATTTAGGTATTTGTCCAAACACAGATTTGGACATAATTAGTTCAAACCTTGTCAAGCTAAGTTGCATTAAAAATTTCTATTTTAATGTTTTGGAGAGTATATTATCAAAGGCTGTCAAATCCAATTTCAATAGTTTAACGTTGAGATAGATCAAAATATAGTCAAAATGGTAGTTGACCAAAGAAAATATTAGGCTTTCTTCGTACTCTAAATAAACTTTGAATTTTCAAACATAAAAGAAATTATTGAGAAGGAAAGATTATATTCATTCACACTATATTTATTATTATTGAACTAATATCTACATCTATTTCTTTTTATTTTAATAGTCAAGAGATTTTGTTCCTTTTATAATGCTGCTAAACCATATAAGTTATTTCCTGTTGGCTCTCAACAACCATCTATTAGAGCGCTATTTTTCATAAAAACTAATTTATTTTTCTGGTTTTTTTAACCCTCTTAGCTGAGCATTTGTGAGTCTGATTATTATTTCAAGTTATACACCTTCTAATAGTTAAGAAGTATATTCGACTTAATAGTATTTCCTTAGAGGGTTAAGCGTTTAAGCTGAGAGACTCACTAAAAGAATACTTCCAATCCATTTGATTAATCGAATGTGTCAAACAGTGAGAAACCCTTATGTAATACTCTAAATTAGAAGTTATAAACTAGGAAATATCCCTTATTAATGAAAATACAGAGTTCTACTTGCTTTATAGGTGAAATAATTTATAATGACAGATTATTTTGAAATTATTATTTTTGATTTATTTTAATTAAAATTGATAGAGTAAAAATTTGAAATTAAGTTTTTTATAATATTTTTGATAAACTCTATGAAATTAATATTATGATCTAATTTAGGGGTTTCCTTTTATAACTCTTAGACATATTTTATCAGATCCGTTTCATTATCTAAGGCAGGCAGAAAAAGACTAGTTTATTATTAAACTACTATCCTTACAGTTTATCTTATAAAGTTAATTAGCAACATGCTTTAGCCATTACTCTTTTTTCTAAATTTTCAAGCTCAAAGGTGCTAGCCAATATTTTGAATCCCTTTTAGCTTCTAAGAATTCAAAAATCAAGTGCATATTTTCCCTTACTATGTATGGATTTCCTCTAAAATAAGCTATTAAAGCCCTAGCTAGTACTGATTTTTGTTAAAAATACAATTTTTTTGATTAAATTTCTACATTAAATAAAGAATTGTTATTAGGAGTTATCTAATTCTTAACATCATCGATATAATACTTCTAATTACTCCTTATAGCTCTCTTTTCCTATCTACTCTCATTATATAAGGCATCAAGTATTTCGAGTCAATTCCTATTTAAAAACATATGAGGAAAGTAGCTATAATTCTTCCTTAAGCCTTTCCATATTATTACTTGGTAATATCCTGGAATTAATCACAAAATTACTCAATCTATTTAATTTGACCTGCACATTTAACTAAATTTTGATCTGTCAGACATTTTTATGTTTAATTTTTTTTAGAAATAATTCCACTCCACTTCCCCATTTAGTAATTTCCACATTTGTATTTATGATCAAAGAGGCCATCAAGATCTTGAATTTAGCCCATCTCCCATCAAACCTTAGTATCAATTTTATAAAAGTAAAATAGGTATTAGATTTATTCTCTTGAAAAAAAGCTTTTATTCCTTTCCTCAATCAGATATTTGATCATAAAATTGACTTGGGTCTCATCTTATTCATCATTTTACTACCATTTTTCTTTTTCCTAAAATAAAATAATTTTATAGTTTCACAATCAAGAACCATTCTCGCTAATTATAAAATTATCCTAGCATGTTTAGAGTCTCTTTTGATATCAATAAATTCAAGCCAACAACTCTTTCTAGAGCTTGTTTATTCTTTGCTACGATTTATTTATTTATATTAAAAAAAAATATAAAAATTAACTTTTATGATAGTTTGCATTAAACAATTAATAAGATATTATTTGAGTCTTAATTATATCAATTTAAAAAGCGAAGTTTTCACTCATCATTGCTATGACCTGATTGCTTGTTAATTCCTCTCTGTCAAGAACAAATTTTTAACATTTATGACCGAAAGATATGACTACTCCTATTAATTAAAGTATTATAAATTAATTACAATCAAAATAAATTGCGATATTAATAAGGTTCCGTTTTTAGCATAAAAAACTCAATTAAATTGATCTCCTTTATACCTTGCTTCTTTTTTATTCATTCTCATAGTCCTTACTCTGTATTAGTTTCTTATTCCAAATTTTCTACACATCCATGTATTAATACTCCAAATTCTGCTTACCAAAGAGCATCATCAAAAAAAATAATACCAATGTTATCCTAAAGGATTGCTTAAAATTGAACATCCTGAGAAAACGGGTTTGTCTAATAATTAATAACTCTAGTGATAGTCGTGATTGTCCTAAAAGATGCTAAGAATGTGTTTAAGGGGAGTGTTTATTTTGTCAGTCGGATTATATTCTTCTTAGAAGATTTTGTTATGAAATTGAATGTGGAAATGGAATAATAGAACCTCTTGAAGATTGCAATGATGGTAATTCTGTAAATAATGATGGATGTTCCAATGATTGTAAAATTGAATAGAATTGGAAATTTTTAATAAGGATTCATAAGTTAATTAGTGTTTTTCATCTACATAAGAGTTTCTTAAATATTTGAATTAGACAAAGTATTGCTAATATATTCAATTGCAATTTTCTAAAAAAGTTATACTTGGCAACAATTCAAAAATAGATAATTTTCCTACTAAAGATTCATTTAAAATTTTTGGATTCTCATCTGATGAATATTTTATAAATTGCAATCCAAAAGTTCCTATCTCTCAAAATGAATTTAAGAATATTCAATATGATTTCTCAATTTACTTATTCTACTAAATAAAAAAATACACATATATTTAGTATTTAATTAAATGAAACCATTTTGGATGAGAATGAATGTTTTTATCTCCAATTAATGTATCAATTGAACTTAAAGTTCCTAAAATTCTGACAAGATCTCAATTAACAGCTTCTAAGACTTTACAAAATGCTGGCTATGGCATGATGATTAGTTTGAGTTGTAGTGGCTTTTTAATGTTGCTTCTAGGAAGATTTTAATAAATAATTTCATTATTAAACATACTTTAATAATAATCATTTTTTAAATACTTAGATGTAGAATATCCCTAACATGTCTAAATTTATTTTGAATCTTTAAATTTCATTACTTTGTAACCATTATTGAATTATTTAAATTTTCCAGATTTATATTCAAATATATTTTCAAAATAGTTTTAAGAGAGTGCAGGTAATTTTAAAGAGTATTAAATAAATGTTGATTTTCTTAGCAATATTGATTATTTGGTATTCTAAATTTTTGTTGAATGTACTTTTAGTTTAATGCTCTATATATATGAAAAAATATATTTCGAAACACATTTCTTTAAGAAAAGTTTTATAGTTTATTTAAAAACTGAAATGGAAAATTATAATATCTCTTTTTATTTATCTATATCAATTTAAAAGGAAGAACTTAGAAATTAAAAGAATTATCAGTAAAGAAGTTTTTATTAAATTCATTTATGCAAATAGTTAAGACTTAATGTTTAAAGTTGGTAATTTTTTATTTCTAATACAAAGTCTGAAATTCGATAAAGAATTTTCTTATTAATTTTTTTTGTGTTTTTAGGAAACATAATTTGGNTGATTGTAAAATTGAATAGAATTGGAAATTTTTAATAAGGATTCATAAGTTAATTAGTGTTTTTCATCTACATAAGAGTTTCTTAAATATTTGAATTAGACAAAGTATTGCTAATATATTCAATTGCAATTTTCTAAAAAAGTTATACTTGGCAACAATTCAAAAATAGATAATTTTCCTACTAAAGATTCATTTAAAATTTTTGGATTCTCATCTGATGAATATTTTATAAATTGCAATCCAAAAGTTCCTATCTCTCAAAATGAATTTAAGAATATTCAATATGATTTCTCAATTTACTTATTCTACTAAATAAAAAAATACACATATATTTAGTATTTAATTAAATGAAACCATTTTGGATGAGAATGAATGTTTTTATCTCCAATTAATGTATCAATTGAACTTAAAGTTCCTAAAATTCTGACAAGATCTCAATTAACAGCTTCTAAGACTTTACAAAATGCTGGCTATGGCATGATGATTAGTTTGAGTTGTAGTGGCTTTTTAATGTTGCTTCTAGGAAGATTTTAATAAATAATTTCATTATTAAACATACTTTAATAATAATCATTTTTTAAATACTTAGATGTAGAATATCCCTAACATGTCTAAATTTATTTTGAATCTTTAAATTTCATTACTTTGTAACCATTATTGAATTATTTAAATTTTCCAGATTTATATTCAAATATATTTTCAAAATAGTTTTAAGAGAGTGCAGGTAATTTTAAAGAGTATTAAATAAATGTTGATTTTCTTAGCAATATTGATTATTTGGTATTCTAAATTTTTGTTGAATGTACTTTTAGTTTAATGCTCTATATATATGAAAAAATATATTTCGAAACACATTTCTTTAAGAAAAGTTTTATAGTTTATTTAAAAACTGAAATGGAAAATTATAATATCTCTTTTTATTTATCTATATCAATTTAAAAGGAAGAACTTAGAAATTAAAAGAATTATCAGTAAAGAAGTTTTTATTAAATTCATTTATGCAAATAGTTAAGACTTAATGTTTAAAGTTGGTAATTTTTTATTTCTAATACAAAGTCTGAAATTCGATAAAGAATTTTCTTATTAATTTTTTTTGTGTTTTTAGGAAACATAATTTGGATTTTCCTTTTTAACTTTAAAAAACATAAGGTGATAAAAATCAAATAAGTTTTTCAATTATAACATGAAAAGTTAATTTATTTAAATAATTCGCTTTTCATTTTCTTTTAACTTAATTTAAATTTTACCCTATACTATAAAGTCTACTACTAATATCATTAGTTAATACTACTTATATTATTTTGATTTTAGGTTTTAAGCCTAAAATGAAAATTAATAAAATTGAACTATTAACTATTTTATCAAATGTAATTCCAGATACAATATTCACATTATTTAACATCTTATGTGATGATAATTTTTAAACCTCTTTAACTTTGAATAAACAAATATATATTGGATTTGTGTAGATTGTATTACTAATTTTTAGTTTAACAGGTCCTTTTCTGAAAATTATATTTGACTTTCATAATTTATGGAAATAATTTAAACAAAGAAAAGCAATAATGAGATCTAAAATAAGATATCAACAATTTTTTTTATTCTAGCATTTTTAAATAATAGATTAGGATTTAATTTGATTTTGAGTGTTATAGAGTGTTTATACAAAAAATAATAATTCTATCATAATATTTCTTAATCTAAATAAGAGAGAATTTGTGATCCACTAAAGTTAAAAAGAAGTTGAAGTAATATTTATGAAAAGTAAACCCCATTCTAAAATATGTTTGCAATTAAATAACAATTTTATATTCAAATTTGTAAAAGAATATTAATTATGAGATTATTTAGAATAATTTTCAATCAGTAATTATCAAAAAGATCTTTACCTTCTATTCCAAAATGATTAGTTAATATTTTATTTATATTTAAGGCATTTCTGACAATTATTTTACTTTCAGTAATCTTTATTGCTTAAGTAAAATATATTTACTATTTACTATAGGTAATCTGAAAGTAATTGATAAAGTTAAATTATATTATATTTTATATGATTCTTTTCATGTCTTTTTGTATTAGTAAATGGTAAAATAGATATTTTTTATTAATTTAATTTCTTGGTTATTGTGACCAATTAAATGGAATGGAACCTCTAATTTAAACAAATGAATAAATATCATTAAAATATTAAATACTAGTATTAATATTTATTCAGTTTCTTGAAAATTATTACAATTTCAATCACATCCTCTTTATTTGTATCTACTTACTGATTTTAATGTCTCTCTTCTACTTATTAAAGTTAAGAAACAAATATTTAATTGATTCAATATCTAACCATAACACATCTATTTATAAATATTGTTTAAAAATATTGCTAGATACTTTAAAATTAATTCAAAAATGTATGTTTACCAATTATTAAATCACATTATTTCACAGACTGCAAAGAATCCTATTGTTGCATCTTTAATTTTGATAAAGATTTATCTCAATTTTTGTTACACGACCTCTATAATGGTAACTTGAATTATATTTCATATTTGTATTTGAATTTGCTTGGGTTAATCTATCGAAAATAATTTGATATTCTCTTTATAAGTTTTAAAAATCACTTCACCAGAAACATTGTTTAGCATTAACCTTTTGTTTTAATTAATAGATTAATTATATTTTATTCAATTATTATTATATTAAATTTATAATATAAAATAAAAATTAATATTTAATGATTTGACTAATATTAGTTAATAGTACATAATTAAAAGAATTATCTTAAAAATCTAAAAAATTATTACCATTATTATGAATCCGAACTGATAGGTTCTAAAACTTCAGTAAGATTGTCATAATTAAAAACAACCATATTAAGTACTTATTATCATTATAACCAATTGTTCAATCTTTAATCTTTGAATATCTTATAAAAAAACTAATATCCTTTTTCTCTTTAATAGGTCATGAATCAAGTGAGATTTATATGAGAAATAGAGATTTTATAATAAATGAAAGAATTGAATGATTATAGATTACTAATACTATATTTTATAAAAATATATATATTTTTATAAAATATAGAAGAGCCTTTTGATTGGTTAAGTAAATTTTAAATATATATATTGACTTAGCTGTTTATTATGTTATGTACTTTATACTAATTCAAATATGATAAATATGTTCCCAGGATTTTGGAGACCTACCAATTTACCAGATGATGTAGAGTATTATTTTAAGAATCCATAATTTTATATGGAAGTTAGGTTAATATTGAATTCTAATTATTTTATGGCTTTTTGTCTATATCTATGTCTTTATAAAGGATAGTTCTTATTTTATATCTAAGGATTTGGTATCCATATTTATCATAGAAAATATAGATACCAAAAATGTTTATTTGAAAATATTGTCAATGATATTATTAATTGTGATGTAATTTATTATAACATTTATTGGAACATATATGTAATGTTGTGATTCAATTATTGATTTTATATTATTGATGATAAATTAAAATAGATTAGATAAAATTAAACTTAAAAGGTATATTTCCTATTTATTAAATGAATAAAAAATGGAAGGATTTTATTATTGATATATTCAGCTTTTTAAGAAAACAATCTTAATATTTATTCTGACTAATTTTAAAACTGAAATAGTTTTGAAGGCTTCACTATTTGGATTGTGTTTATTAATGTATCAGATATTAGCAGTATTTCATTAACCATTCATTAATCGACAATTTAATAATATTGTATTAAAAATAGACCCTTCTATTTTGAAAGATTTTAGATTTTTAGAATGGATAAGTAATTAATAGAATTCTTAAGATCAAATAGAGAATAACAAGCCTTTTAATAATTTTAATTTGTTAGTCTTTACATATTATGGAATAAATTTAGGATTATTGCAAATCTTCATCTAATCATAGCTATTATAAATCTCTTTTCTCTTACTATTCACTGTGCATCTTTTTTCAATATGATTTGAAATGTTTCTTAAAATTTTGAACTATAAAATAAAATTTTAAGAAAATACTTTTAGTTTAAAATATCAACATTTTTATTTTTAAAAAATAAACTAAATTCTCTTGATCATTTTTTGAACACATACTTTTTATGAATTATAATTTTAAACAGGATTTCCTTAAATTTTTTCAGAAAAGCAAAACTATAATAATTAAATATCAAATATAATTTATTAAAATATAGTGCCATTAGTTTTTATTATTGATTTCCACACTATGAAGTAGTGCAAGACCTTCTGAAATATAATTAGAGGAAAGAAAAGGGAATTACAAGAGTTTCATTCTAAAATTAGATTAAACATATCTTTTTTAGAAGATTGAATAGATTACTATAAAGAAGAAAGAATATCAACATGAACATGTAGTTCAAGAATAAAAATAAATTAAAGAATAAAGTGTTAATATTTAACATTTATCCAATCATTAATGATTAAGTAATAAAATAAGTAATTTAAACTAATGGCAATAATTTATTGAATTATATTTGATTTACAAATCAAGAAGTTAATTAAACTAAAATTATA